CACTTCAGTCGGGGGAAACAAAGTGGTCTTGCAGTGTGTATAATCCACCACAGAATGCAGGGGGCCCAAGAGAGGAATATGAAGAGAGCAACAGAGCAATGGTGGACACACTTGCTGAGGTGGCAAGAAGAGCTCACTCCAGCGAGCAAAGTTGCTGGTTATGGGGGATTTCAACCACAGGGAGATTGACTGGGAAAACCTGGACCCTCATGGGGGTCCTGAAACATGGAGAGCCAGGATGTTGGACGTGGTGCTGGAAAACCTCATGCACCAAAATGTTAAGGACACTACCAGAGTGAGGGGGGAGGATAAACCCAGCAAGATTGGACCTTGTGTTTCACCCTGGGCAGCTCAGACATGATGACATCAAGTATGAGAGTCCCTAGGAGCTAGCGACCACGTGGTTCTGTGCTTTGAATACTTTGTAGAGCTCCCAAGTGGAGAGAATAACAGGAAAAAATAGAATGGGAAAAACCTGACTATAAAAGAGGGGACTACATAGGGTTGAAGAACTTTTCTGCGGGAGGTCCGTGGGACAGAGAACTGGCAGGAAAGCCAGTAAATGAAATGATGGAATATGTAGCAACAAAATGCAAGGAAAGGCAGTGGAAAGTTCATTCCCAAGGGCAACAGTAACAACGGGAAGACCAGAACAAGCCCTGGTTCACCCGACGGTGTAAGGAGGCAAAAACAAAGTGAAATAGAGAATGGAAAAAGTACAGAAGGCAGAGAACCACGAAAATAGGGAGATCAGTCGCAGAGCCAGGAATGAGTACGCAAGGTAAGGGGGGAGGCCCAGCGCAGTATGAAAATGACATAGCATCGAAAAACAAGACTGACCCGAAACGTTGTATAGCCCATCAGGAGGAAGACAACAGTCAAAGACCAGGTGATCAGATTAAGGACAGAAGGTGGAGAACTCACAAGAAATGATCAGGAGGTATTGAGGAGCTGAACAGATATTCAAGGAAGTTTTTACAGTAGAGACAGGAAGGGCTGTGGGAAGACAGAACAGAAGGGAACTCAAGAGGGAATATACCAACAAGTGTTGGATGACATACGAACAACTGAGGAGGAGGTGAAGAAGCTCTTAAGTGACCTTGACACCTCAAAGGCGATGGGACCGGACAACATCTCCCTTTGGGTCCTTAGAGAAGGAGCAAGATGCTGTGTGTGCCTCTAACCACAATCTTCAACCCCATCCCTTGAAACTGGGCAACTACCTGAGAAAGGGAAAGGGACAGCTAATGTAGTCCCCATATTTAAGAAAGGAAACAGAAACGAGGCACTAAACTACAGCCCTGTGTCTCTGACATGTATCGTGTGAAAGGTCATGGAGAAGATTATCAGGAGGAGAGTGGTCGAACACCTGGAAAGGAACAAGATTATAAATGAAAACCAGCATGGGTTCATGGAAGGAAATCTTGTATCACAAACCTCCTGGAGTTTTATGACAAGGTAACAGAAGTAAGACATGAGAGAGAGGGTTGGGTAGATTGCGTTTTCCTAGACTGCAGGAAGGCCTTTGACACAGTTCCCCACAAGAGATTAGTGCAAAAGCTGGAGGATCAGGCAACGTAAAGGAAGGGCACTGCAATGGATAAAGGGAATACCTGACAGGAGGCCAGCAACGAGTCATGGTACGTGAAGAGGTATCACAGTGGGCGCCTGTTACGAGCGGGGTTTCCCCCAGGGGTCAGTTTTAGGACCAGTGTATTTTTGATATATGTGAACGACATGATGGAAGGAATAGACTCTGAAGTGTCCCTGTTCGCAGATGACGTGAAGCTGATGAGAAGAATTATCGGACGAGGATGAGGCAGGACTGCAAAGAGGGCCTGGAGAGGCTGGACATTTGGGGCCAGTAACTGGCTTTTCGAATTCAATCCAGCCAAATGCAAAGTCATGAAGATTGGGGAGGGGCAAAGAAGACCGCAGACAGAGTATAGGCTAGGTGGACAAAAACTACAGACCTCACTCAGGAGAAAGAACTTGGGGTGACCATAACACCGAGCACATCACCGGAGGCACACATCAACCAAATAACCGCTGGCCCGCTACGGGCGCCTGGCAAAACCTGAGAAAAGCGTTCCGATACCTTAATAAGGAATCGTTCAAGACACTGTACACTGTGTATGTTAGGCCCATACTGGAGTATTGCAGCACCAGTCCTGGAACCCACACCTGGTCAAGCACGACAAGAAGTTAAGAAAGTACAAAGGTTTGCAACAAGCTAGTCCCATAGCTCAAGTACTGTCTACGAGGAAAAGTTAGGAAACGGACTACCGACACTGGAGTGACAGAAGGTCAGGGGAGACATGATAACGCCATACAAGAACTGCGGGTAATAGACAAGGTGGACAGAGATAGGAAGTCCAGAGAGGGGACACAGGGACAAGGGGTCACAACTGGAAGCTGAAGACTCAGACGAGTCACAGGGACGTTTAGGAAGTATATTCTCCAGTCAGAGAGTTGTCAGCAAGTGGAAATATCCGTAGCAAGTGAAGATAGTGGAGGCAGGAACCATACATAGTTTAAAGAAGAGTGTATGACAAAGCTCAGGAAAAGCAAGAGTGAATGATCCAGTAGCGACATGAATGAGGCGGGCCAGAGCTGAGGTCTCGACCCACCCTGCAACCACATTAGGTGATACAATTGTGAGTACACACAGGGGACTACACAGGGGACTACCAGGGACTTACACAGGGGACTACACAGGAATGATGAACTACCTTGAACGGGGTTCAGTGGGACAGAGAACTGGCAGGAAGCAGTTAATGAGATGATGGAATATTAGCAACAAAAGCAAGGAGGCTGAGGAGAGGTTTGTACCCAATGGTACAGGATTAATGAAAAAGCCAGATGAGCCCATGGTTTACCCAAATGTGCAGGGACATAAACCAAGTGTGCTAGGGAATGGAAGAATATAGAAGGCAAAGGACCCAGAGAATAAGGAAACAGTCGTAGAGCCAGAAACGAATTGCACAGATAAGAAGGGAGGCCGCAAAGACAATATGAAAATGACATAGCAGCGAAAAGCCAAATCTGACCCGAAACTGTTGTACAGCCACATCATGAGGAAAACAACAGTCAAGGACCAGGTAATCAGGCTAAGGAAGGAAGGAGGAGAACAACAAGAAATGACCGTGAAGTATATGAAAACTCAACAATAGATTCCAAAGAAGTGTTCACAAGGAGACAGAAGGGACTCCAAAAGACGAGAGGTGGGGCACAGCGCGGGACCAAGTGCTGACACAGTGCACACAACCGAAGAAGAAGTGAAGATGGCTTCTTAGTGAGCTAGATACCTCAAATGCAATGGGGTCCAAGATAACTTCTCCCCATGGGTATTGAGAGAGGGAGCAGAGCGCTATGCGTACCCCTAACACAATATCAATACATCTATCGAAACAGGGAGATGCTAGACATGGAAGACAGCAAATGTAGTCCCAATCTTATAAAAAAGTAGACAGACATGAAGCATTAAACTACATACACAGTGTCCACTGACATGTATAGTAAGCAAAATCATGGAGAAGATTAATCAGGAGAAGAGTGTGGAACACCTAGAAAGGAATGAATCTCATCAACAGCAATCCCCCCCCAACATGGTTTTCAGGACTGAAATCCTGTGTCACAAACCTACTGGGAAAAAAAAAGTTCTATGATAGGTACAGCAGTAAACAAGAGAGAGAGGGGTTGGTGATTGGAGCATTTTCCTTGGACTGCAAGAAGGGCGTTTGATACAGATTCCACACAAGAGATTGGTGGCAAAACTGGAGGACCAACAGGGAAACAGGGAAGCACTACAAAGTGATCAGGGAATACTTGTCAGAAGAACAGCAGCGATCATGTACTTGGCGAGGTGTCAGAGTGGCACCTGTTGACCAGCGGGTCCCACAGGGGTCAGCCTAGGACCAGTGCTGTTTCTGGTAATTTGTTGAACGACATGACGGAAGGACAAGACTCTGAGGTGTCCCCTGTTTGCAGATGACGAAGTTGATGAGAAAATTCACTCGATCGAAGAACCAGGCAGAACTACGAAGTGGATCTGGACAGGCTGCAGACCCCTGGTCCAGCAAATGCTTCCTGGAGTTCAATCCCACCAAGTGCAAAGTCATGAAGATGGGAGAGGCAAAGAAGGCAGCAGACGAGTACAGTCTAGGGGGTCAAGAGACTACAACCTCAACTCAAGAAAAAGATCTTGAGGTGAGTATAACACCAGGCACATCTCCAGGAAGCGCACATCAACCAAATAACTGCTGCAGCATATGGCGCCTACAAACCTCAAACAGCATACCGACATCTTATTATGGAAACATACAGGACCCTGTACACCGTGTGTATGTTTAGGCCCATATTGGAGTAATGCGGCACCAGTTGGAACCCACACCTACCAAGCACGGAAGAAAATAAAGAAAAACCCTAGAGAAAGTGCAAAGGTTTTGCAACAAGACGAGTCCCAGGCTAGAGAGGTATGTCCTACGAGAGAGGTTAAGGAAATCACCTGACGACACTGGAGGACAGAGAGATAGGGTGGACATGATAAACGACATACAAAATACTGAGAGGAATTGACAAGGTGGAACAAAGACATGATGTTTTCCAGAGATTGGACACAGTAAACAAGGGACACAGTTGGAAGCTGAAGACACAGATTAATCACAGGGATGTAGGAAGTATTTCTTTCAGCCACAGAGTAGTCATAAGTGGAATAGTTTGGGAAGCGATGTATTGGAGGCAGTAATCCATACATACTTTAAGCATGAGTATGGATAAAGGCTCACGGTTCAGGGAAGAGTGACCTATAGCGATCATTAGAGGCGTGGCCAGAGCTCCGAACTCGACCCCCGCAACCTCAACTAGGGAGTACAACTAGGTGAGTACACACACACATACACAGCACACACACACACACACACACACACACACACACAACACACACACACACATACACATCACACACCACACCCACACAACACCCACACACACACACACACACACACACACACACACCACACACACACACACACACACACACACACGCACATCTGAGAAAAAGGACATATAAAGCGAACATTTTTTTTTCCTAAATACAAAACCAGTGAAAAACCAGGCTAGTAAGAGACAGTGGGCAGTCCTGCATCTCTATCCTCCCAGTCACTCCATCCTCAATGTCCCATTCTTGCATTCCCTCATAATTCAATCACCACCATCCACCCACTCCCATCACACCCAGCCACCTCCACAAAAATGAAAAACAGGTGAATTCCAGATTTACCCCTCAATGGTCGTCCATGGTCGACGTATGACGACTCAAAAATTGCAGAATAAAAATAAAAGACTTTTTTTTGAGACCAGCAAACTTGCGAGTAAGCCTCACGAGTCGATAAATTTATTTAATATATTTCCAGGATGTATGACCGAGATGTCAGTTCCAGTTGTAATGACTGCATTGTCTCACCCAGGAGTAGACTGCAATGTCCTCATCCAGGTGTATGACTGCATTGTCCCACCTAGGTGTATGACTGCATTGTCACAACCCAGGTGTATACTTGCATTTGTCTCATCAGGTGTATGACTGCATTTGTCTCACCCAGTGTATGACTGCATTGGTCTCACTAGGTGTATTAACTGCATTGTCCTCACCCAGGTGTATTACTGCATTTTCACATCCAGGTGTATGACTGCATGTTCTCACCCAGGTGTATGACTGCAATTGTCATCACTAGGTGTATGACTGCATGTCTCACCCAGGTGTATGAATGCATGTGTCTCACGTTAGGTGTATGACTGCATTTGTCCCACCCAGGTGTATGACTGCCATTGTCCTCATCCAGTGTATGACTGCATTGTCCTCACCCAGGTGTATGACTGCATTGTCTCACGTAGGTGTATGAACGACATTATCTCACCCAGGGTGTTGACTGCATTATCTCACCAGGTGTATGACTGCATTATCTCACCCAGGTGTATGACTGCATTATCTCACCCAGGTGTATGACTGCATTATCTCACCCAGGTGTATGACTGCATTATCTCACCCAGGTGTATGACGACATTATCTCACCCAGGTGTATGACTGCATTATCTCACCTAGGTGTATGACTGCATTATCTCACCTAGGTGTATGACTGCATTATCTCAAACCTAGGGTGTATGACTGCATTATTCACCTAGGGTGTATGACTGCATCGCAATCTCACCTAGGTGTAAGTCTTGGTATTCACTTCCAGGTATATGATCCGGACCACTATTGTCACTGTCACTTAAGACTTATATGTCCATGTCACTGTATTTATCAGCTATCTCTCCGTCATATAATTATCTCATTTTTCAATGTAGTATTATATTTGCGATTTTTGATTTCATAATTCGCACAGTGAAATATTAATCTAGTGTTCAATCCATTCAATAATTGAGAATGCAAAGATTTAATTGTTTCCCATTTTGCAATGTTTACACTGATGAAAGCATTATATAAATACATAAATAAATTAATAAATAAATAATAACAAGCGTCAAGATAGTGCAAGAATACAATGTGTTGTCCACTTCCCCTCCTTCTTTCTCTGTATAACTTCTCTTATGTCCTCTCTCCTCTCTCCTCTCTCTCTCTTCTCCTCTCTCTCTCTCTATCTATCTATCTATCTATCTATCTATCTACCTATCTATCTATCTATCTCCCTCACATACATACCACAGTACAAGGAAATAAGTCCTGTATCCCAAATAAGCGCAACTGGAATAAAATATCGTAATATAATTAATATAAGACCTACACACACAAAACGAGAGATCCAGCCCATGATATCCTTTTAAATCACTTTGTTCTCACTAGGCTAGAATACTGCTGAACATTAACACTCCATACAAAGCAGGTGAAATCGCAGAACTAGAGAGTGTAACAGAGATCCTTTACTGCACGTTCAGTTCTGTCAAGCACCTAACTACTTGTGAACCGCTTGGAAGCACTTGACCTTGTAACTCGTTGGAACGCAGAGGGAGAGATATATCATAATCTACACTTGAAAATCTTGGAAGGAAATGGTCCCAAATCTGCACACATAAATCACTCCCTAAGAAAGTAAAAGACTGGGCAGGCGATTTCAAAATGCCGCCAATAAAATGTAGGGGCGCCATTGGTACACTAAGCAGAAAACACCATAATCTCCGGGCCCAGAAAAACTGTCAACAGCCTCCCATCAAGCATTAGGGGAATTTGCCAATAAACCCTGGCTGCCTTCAAGAGAGACTGGACATATACCATAAAGTCAGTGGCCGGATTCAGCCGGGCTGTGGCTCGTACGTCGGACTGCGTGCGGCCAGCAGTAAACATCCCCTATAAAAAAAAAAAAATAAAAAAAAAAGTTGAAATCAGGCCCTGACCATCGCGAGGCCTGGTCATGGACCGGGCCGCGGGGGCGTTGATCCCCGGAATAACTTCCAAGGTAACCTCCAGGAACACTCAACCAGAACTCTCCCCTTCCGTCCCATACTCATAAAAAAAGGTAGCCGGCTCAAGAGGATGATGGCTACCATTTCCCTTGGTCCATAATACAGTACACTACATGCATGACCACTGCAGGGAGTGCCTTAAAAATACATAACAGATTGTTAATTCCGCAGCCAAATTACTAGAGTTGGCAGAACCATATATATATATATATATATATATATATATATACTAAATATAAATATATTATAAATATATATTTAAGCACTCCTCAGTGGTCATGCATTTAGTGTACTGTATTAAGACCAAAGGGAAGGGTAAGCCACACATCCTGCTTGAGCCCGGCTATGAGTATGGACGAAGGGGATAGTTTATGTGTGTGTGTGTGTGTGTGTAGGTCTATATTATATATACGATATGATTATCGCATTGCTCTTATTTGGGATACAGGACCTTATTTCCTTGTACTGTGTATGTATGTGAGGAGAGTGATAGATAATAGATAGTTATATAGATAGATAATAGATAGGATAGAGAATAGATAGATAGATTTATTAGATAGAGAGAGAGAGAGAGAGAGAGAGAGAGAAGAGAGAGAGAGAGAGAGAGAGAGAGAGAGAGAGAGAGACTAAGAGAAAGTTATACAGAGAAAGAAAGGAGGGAGTGGACAACACATTGTATTCTTGCACTATCTTGACGCTTGTTACCACCTTGACGTACGTACCACCACCTTGACGTTACTTCTCACCGTTCTTGGACGTACGTGTCCACCACCACGACGTACGTGTCACCACCTTGACGTACTTGTCACCACCTTAACGAACTTCTCACCACCTTGACGTACTTCTCACCACTTTGACGTACGTGTCTCTCCCCCAGTTGGTTCCTGGTGTCACTAGCGGTGGCTGACCTACTGCTGCTGTTGTTGTGTGTACCACTAGAGACTCTGCAATACTTCCTATGGACGCCCCACCTCTCCCTACCAGTGTGCAAACTCTCATCTTACTGTGAGCTGCTGTCTGCCGTAGCTTCAGTACTCAACCTCACAGCAGTCAGCCTTGAGAGGTAAGTTGTTATCCTCACAGTAATCACCTCAGAGAGGTCCGGACTATTTTACTCTTCCCCAAAAAGAAATTTTTTTTGATTGGATCTTCTTGTCTTTGTTGAGTGAGTGATGGTAACTGGTGTGTGTTTTGTAGTGTTATGGCTGGGTTGATTTTTTTTGCAATTTTTTGATGTTGTGCTTTTGAGATGTGTATACGTTTGTGAAGGTATTTATTGCCTTATAGTACACACACAACACACACACACACACCACACACACACACACACACACACACACACACAACACACACACACACACACACACACACACACACACACACACAAAAGGAATGGATCGAAACATCTTTTAGTTTATGATCCAAGACAGACCTAAACATCCTCCAGTTTAGGGTTCAGGCAGGACCAAAACATCCACTAGTTTTTGGTCGAGGAAGGACCAAAACATCTTCCAGTTCAGGGTCCAGGAACAACCGAAATACCAATATTTGAGTAATTTGTGAAGTGCAGCAGCCAAGCTCTTCTATCCTTCATTTTTCCTCCTTGAGTATATAAACCTTAAACCAGTTTTTAACTGAGAGAGAAGAAACATTTCGTAATATATATAAAAAATGAGTATTTACTAAAACCGGAGACGAGATGTTACGATATAACAAATTTAATATTTTTTTTCTTAACTCTGAAAAATAATTATAATTTTCAACAAGATAGGTTGAAGCCCAATATTATATAAATCATTATATATATTATATATATATATATATATATATATATAATATATATATAAAATTATATTATATAATATAAAAATATATATATATATATATATATATATATACGTATATACCAAACTAGGAGCACATTCATCGTGTGACTGAAGGAGCGACCTCGCTAGCCTTACTCTGTCGAACTCTCGTTTTGTTGAGCAATTTCTGAAATTGCTTCCCATCTTTTGCGTCTTGCGTTGCCATTCATTCTGCCTGGAACCCGTAAGCCTGCACGGCGAGGAGGAGAGTGAAGGAGTGGGTGAGCGAATTAGTATGGGAGGGAGGGAGTAGAGGTGTGAACGAGTGAATGAGTGAGTTCGTATATTAGCGAGTGGTGGTGTCTGCTGTGAACATCACCAGCACGACTCAAGTATGCCACCTCTTTTTCTTTTCTCCTCTTGTATTTCTCGTCGTCAAACTGCGACATTAGAGCTTGTATTTTCATTTTAAAAAGATTCTTCGGTGCTCTCACAGCTGCTTTCCTCTCATCTACGATTCTGTTTAGATACAGAAAAGTTACATACAGCATTTCTCTGCATCTGTGACAAGGATACATAAATAAAAAGAATAAACGGCATGTAGAAAGCCCAACGCTGTACCACGATCAGGTACAAGTCCCCGCCCATCCTTCCTCAAAATAAATACTTTTAGCAAGAGACAACATTTAACATTCTGGGTTTATCCATATATATTTTCGCCTTATGCTGACCGTTGATGCCAACGCCTTTAGTGTGAGGGGTTTAATTAGGCCATCCTCAGTTTCCGTCCTCTCTCTGGTCTCAAGTTGAGTCCTCGTCAAACGATGCCCCCATATCCCCCCCGTCCTGCAGCTTCTCCTCAACTTCCTCTCTCAATACAAACGATCAAATCACCCTCCAAATGGTGCCTCGTCTTCCTAGATAAACGTTTGATGGCTTGATTCAGTGAGTTACTCCCCACGTCAGTGCTCTCTCTCATACTGAAAGCATTAACCAATATATATATATATATATAAAATATATATATATATATATATATATATATATAATAGATATATATATATATATATATACCATGGAGGAAAAGGGGCAGCTGCCAGCTTCAAGGGAGTCCCAAAAGTCTAGAAAATATGGAGAACTTGCCCATCATTATATTTTGTTCCATAGGCTCAGAAACCCTTGGCTCATTGGGAAAGAATGCATCTAAATTCCTTACGGAGCTGGGAAAAAGACTCATCAGGGTGACTAGGGACCCAGGCAGCTAGTTTTCTGTTCCACGGCTCAGTGTTGGCCCTGTTCAAAAGGGTAATGCCTGCTGTATTTTGGGCACCCGCCCCAGCTCTGAGGAGGGATGAAGTTATTTCGCCTATAATCGGTGGATAGACATGTACACCATTGTACCTTATATGCAACTTTATATCAACAATGTATCTCTTTAAATCTTTGTACCATATTATGTTAATAAAAATTCCTATTGGTAAAAAAAAAATATATTAAAAGAATGGGGTGGTAGGGGAAGTGGAATATTCAAACGGCTTCAGGAAGAAATCCAAATATTCTTCCTTGAAGCCTTTTTATCCACTTCTCCGAGGCTGTGGGTCCCACAATTTACACCAGAGGTGGACCCCATCCTATATAAAAAAAAATATATATATACATATATATCCTAAGATGTGCACCTTCATATGATAACCCTATACTGCACGAATATGACAGTATCCTGAGCGCAGATTTTTACGAAAGAACTTAACCTTACTCTTGAAGACGGGCAGTGGAACCAAGCAACACTTCCAGTCAGACTAGGAGGCATTGATGTCCGTAAGTCATCACAGATTGCGCTTCCTGCTTTTTTGTCCTCATGTATTGCATCCATAGGGTTTGTAGCAGCGCAGATCTCCCTGAACATCACAGGACAAGATTGGAGTCAGGACCAAGAGTTCATTGACGGAGCCATGATCTGGGATTAATCTAATGGCTCTGAAACCAGACCTGCTCCCCACTACAACAACAAACAATCGCACTGGATTGAGTCCCCCAATAGTGGAAATTATAGACTCAACGTGCTTCAGAGTGTGTTAGGGAAAGATAGAGGCCCGCCTCCAGCATTGAGAGCCCCTCATGCAGGAGGATTTTTCGTAGGGGCTGTCCCAACTCAGCTGGCACACGCCCTCGAACCTCCACAGACCACCGCATCGTGTTGCCCATCGACTTGCCGCCCCTATTCTCGCCGAAAACAGGAATAATTTGTGCAGGCGAACACGGACCCCCCGTTCGGAGTACCATGGTCTTTGTGCCGTAAACCGAGGGACAAGATAGCAAGACATGAGGAGGTTATAACATTATCAAGAGAGCCTCACAACAGCTGGATGCCCAGTAGTAAGGGAAGCCAGCCCCAGCGATGCAGATCCTGATGGCACCAAAAGCGTCTATGTGTAAAAGGAAAATAAAAAAAACAGATGGTTATCACCCTTCAAGCCTGGACAGATGGGAAGCAGGTGGTGTGGGACTATACATATGCACTACCTTGGCTGATACCTATCTCCAATACACCGGGAGGAAGGAGGGGCAGCTGCCAGCTTCAAGGAGTCCCGAAAGTCTAGAAAATATGGAGAACATGCCTATCATTATATGTTTGTTCATCCCCCCCCATAGTCTCAGAGACCCTTGGGCTCACATTGGGAAAAGAATGCATCTAATTCCCTCAGGAGCTGGGAAAAAGACTCATCAGGGTAACTAGGGATCCCAGGGCAGCTAGTTTTCTGTTCCAGCGCTCAGTGGCGGCTGTTCAAAGGGGTAATGCTTGCTGTATTTTGGCACACGCCCCACTCTGAGGAGCTGGATGAGATTTTTCGCCTTATAATCGGTGATACACACGTAACAACATGTACCTTATATGCCACCTTTATTCCAAAAATGTATCCTCTTAAATCTTTTGTACCATATTATGTAATAAAATATTCTTATTGGTAAAAAAAAATATGAAAAGAATGGGGTGGTAGGGGAAGTGGAATTGCAAACGGCTTCAGGAAGAAAAACCAAATATTCTTCCTTGTAAGCCTTTTATCCACTTCTCCGAGCTGTGGTCCCACAATTTTACACCAGAGGTGGACCCCCATCATATATATATATATATAATATGATATATCTATATATATATATATATATATATATATATATATAATTATATATATATATATGATAAGATTTATATATAATATATATATATATATATATATATATATATATATATAATATATATATATAATACTCACCTAGTTGTGGTTGCAGGGGTCGATTCACAGCTCCTGGCCCAGCCTCTTCAACTGTGTGTGTGTGTGTGTGTGGATTAGGAAATATGTGTAGTTTTTCTGTCTTTGGTAGACTGTGGGGATTATAGATTGTTTAATAATAATAATGATAATGACGATAATAATATTGATGTTGTTGGTTGTTATAACAACTATTCTTAGTTATTACTCATTATTACTATCCATATCCCACCTACTACGTATGGATCCTAACTACCACACCACATTAAATAAAAGAGTGCACCATTAGTGCTCCATTAACGAGGTTCATTAACCCCCCCTGGGGACGGTATATCGAGGCTCCACTACCGTAGTGCTCAACGTGGGTTCATTTTTTTGCAAGGTTATCAGCCCTGGCGCCTTCGTAGCACGAGTACCGTACGCCTGTCCTACTGGAGGGCTCTTGATCCTAGAAAGTGGAGCCTTACGGGTGCTGTTTCTCTCCTCCTGCAGGTACATCGTGATTGTGTACCCTATGAGGTCCCGCACCTTCTGTACTCTCAGTAACTGCCGCCGGGCTATCATCGGTGTGTGGTGCGTCTCTCTGGTGCTATCAGTCCCCGCTGGCGTCACTCAGGTGAGTAACAACACGGGTGAGTGACAACTCGGGTGAGTTACCTTCCTGGTGAGTAAGGACTCCACTGATCTTTCTTGTACTAACAAANAAAACCCCATTAACAAAAATAACTTACATGCAACCATAGTTCTCGGCTGAATACAAACAAAAGGGGAATACAATGCTGAGGATTGTATAAGATGTAGAGAATTGTATTCAGTGCTGAGAATTGTATACAATGCTGAGAATTATATTCAATGTAGAGAATTGTATAAAATGTATAGAGCTGTACACAATGTAGAAAATTGTTTTCAATTCTGAGAATTGTACACAATATAGAAAACTGTATTCTTCCTGACTCCCTAGTGACCAGGTGTTGAGTGAGGCTGACACCTAGGTCTTCCTGACTCCCTAGTGACCAGGTGTTGAGTGAGGCTGACACCTAGGTCTTCCTGACTCCCTAGTGACCAGGTGTTGAGTGAGGCTGACACCTAGGTCTTCCTGACGCCCTAAGTGACCTTGATTGTTGAAAAGAGGCCTGACACCTGGTCCTTCCTGGCTTCCTAGTGAACCAGGTATTGAGTGTGGCTGACACCTAAGGGCTTGCTGACTCCCTAATGATCAGGTGTTGAGTGTGGCTGATACCTAAGTCTTCCTGACTTCCTAGTGACCAGGTATTGAGTGTGGCTGACACCTAGGGCTTGCTGACTCCCTAATGATCAGGTGTTGAGTGTGGCTGACACTTTGGTCTTCCTGACTCCCTAGTGACCTGGTGTTGAGTGTGGCTGACACCTGGGTCTTCCTGACTCCCTAGTGACCAGGCATTGAGTGTGGCTGACACCTAGGTCTTCCTGACTCCCCAGTGACTTGGTGTTGAGTATGGCTGACACCTAGGTCTTCCTGACTCCCAAGTGACCTGGTGATGAGTGTGGCTGACACCTAGGTCTTTCTGACTCCCTAGTGACCTAATGATGAGTATGACTGACACCTAGTTCTTGCCCCCTTCTCGGAGATGAGTTTTTCTTCCTATAAGTTGTACAGTAAACTCCGGTACCGACACTTACACTATAAACTGCAACACATATCACGCAACACACCAGAAATCTGGACAACACATCAAAGCCTCCAGGAAACACATAAATATTAAACTCTGGGCGGTAAAATCTTTTTTTTTTATTCCAAATGGAAATTGTTCTCTCTCGTTTTATTTTTTCCAATAAGACCGAGTCGTATTATCCAAGACATGTTTCCCAAGACATGACTGGGGCTTCTCCAAGTTGCAGGTGGTCACCTGGATGAAAGATGGGAATTTGTTTTACAGAAGAACATAAGAACATGAGAATGTAGGAACACTGCAGAAGGCCTACTGGCCCATACGAGGCAGGTCCTTATCAAAACGACATCTACCTAAAGCTACTCAAGAAATAACTCCCGTACCCCATGACACCAATCAAACCCAGCCCCTCCCACTCATAAGAACATAAGAACATAAGAAGAGATGGGATAGAGGAGCAGGAAACAGGAGGAACAGTAGCAGAATCAGAAGGATAAGGAGCATGAGGTTTAGGAGAAGGGGGGGAGGTAAGGATGAGGAAGAGGGGGAGATAAGGATGAGGAAGAGGGGGAGAATAGGATGAGGAGGAGGAGGGAAGAATAGGATGAGGAGGAGGATGGGTGGATAGGATGAGGAGGAGGAGGAGGGGAAGATAGGAGGAGGAGGGGAAGATAGGATGAGGATGAGGAGGAGGACTAAGTAGTTTCAAGAAGTAAGCTGAGGTACAATTAGTGACTTGGAAGTTTTAGTGTTGTGTTGTGAGAGACCAGTGATCACAGGAACCAGAAACACTTAAATTTTAAGTGTCAAACTTTCCAATCCCTCCCTTGGGAACACTCCCTAACCGCAACCCCCATTCTCCCTACTCCACCTCCACCTTTCCCCAAACCCTCCACTCTCTTTCACCTTCTAACTCCTATACCTTCAACCCAAATCCTCTCCTTCCCTGCAGTCCTTGCCTTCTATCCGTTCCTTTCACACCCAGAGTCGAACACCCGGACACCCATCTCACCTCTAGTAGGTAAATAATATTCACGAGGTACACAGCTCCTGGGAATGGAAAGTAGTTCCTGTCTCTTAGGTCACTTGTTTACCCCCCAGCCTAAGAGAGACTTAAGGTCTTGAAGGTACATTCTCTATCCCCAGAAGTTTAGTGTGGGGGGGGGTGTTGGGGGGGGGGCTATCTCACTCACCAGCCCCCTCCTCTTGCTATATACATCACTCCCTAGAGCATCGAGGCACCAACCTCCCTTGTGTCCTTCTCCAACACAACTACAATGACAGATGCACAACTTACAGAGCCGTCAACTACAATGACAGATGCACAACTTACAGAGCCGTCAACTACAATGACAGATGCACAGCTTATAGAGCTGTCAACTATAATGACAAATACACAACTTACAGGGCCGTCAATTTCAATAACAGATGCACAGCTTACAGAGCTGTCAACTACAATGATAAATACACAACTTACAGGGCCGTCAACTACAATAACAGATGCACAGCTTACAGGGCCGTCAACTACAAGAAACCCCTGAACCCGTGCCTTATATCCCACACCAGACTACATAAAAGATGACTATAAACAGAGGAAAGACTTTCTGAATGCAATATACTGTGAAATACGAATGGAAGTAAAGAGAACAGGTGAGTTGATGGAATGTAATACCTTGCTAAAAATACCCAGAGTTGGAGGAGAAACTCGTATTTAAAAAGAGAAGAACAAATGAGAAGAGAGAAAGTTAATGGTTTATTAAGAGACTTAGAGAAGAAAAACGATAAACATGCAAAAATGCGAGAACTGAAGGCTGGCAATACACAGAGAAATGAACACAAAGGATAAAAGCATGTAGGTAAACTTAAGAAAGGAACGCCACTTTGAGAATGATTATAAATTGAAAGTAAAATAGGAATGGGGGGAAAAAGGCTTTAGTTACGTCAGGGGAAGGGAAGAAAAGGTGGCATTTTGAACCAAGCACTAATTAAAATTTTAGGACTGAAAAGAGCTTATGAAGGATGACAAAGTACGGTGCGAGAACAATAACGACGCTGCTCGAGGGAATAATCGCTGTGGGATCAGGAATATCATCGCATCCATGAAGGTAAGAGTTATCCAGCAGAGCATAGATAACATCCACTCAGCAGACTTACGTTCATGATGCGACTGAACAAACTAGACGAATTCAGTGGACACACACACATACATACACACACACACATACACATACATACACACACAAGGTTAGTTCCGGAGCTAAGGGGAATGTCCTATGAAGAAAGGTTAAGGGAAATCGGCCTGACGACACTGGAGGACATAAGGGTCAGGGGAGACATGATAACGACACATAAAATACTGCGAGGAATAGACAAGGTGGACAAAGACAGGATGTTCCAGAGAAGGGACACAGAAACAAGAGGTCACAATTGAAAGTTGAAGACTCAGATGAGTCAAAGGGATGTTAGGAAGTATTTCTTCAGTCATAGAGTTGTCAGGCAGTGGAATAGCCTTGAAAGTGACGTAGTGGAGGCAGGAACTATACATAGTTTTAAGACGAGGTTTGATAAAGCTCATGGAGCAGGGAGAGAGAGGACCAAAGTAGCAACCAGTGAAAGGGGGGGCCAGGAGCAAAGGGACTCGACCTCTGCAACCACAATAGGTGAGTACACACACATACACATTCACAACACACACACACACACACACACACACACACACACACACACACACACACACACACACACACACACACACACACACACTCTAGACAGACTTTTTTCACTTCATATATCAACGGAGCTTCTCAAACAAAACATAGTTTCGGCTGCTTTCCCAAACTGCAAAGCATTTTTCATCTATTGAAATCCTGATCACGTAGGAATTTTCGTTTTCTTTTAACACGCACATACCTTCTGCGAATTCTTTTCCCTTTTTTCCCCTCGGATTTTCGACGCTATGTGTTGTGTGTTGTGTGTGTGTGTGGTGAGTGTTTGTGTGTGTGTGTGAGTGTGTGTGTGTGTGTGTGTGTGTGTGTGTGTGTGTGTGTGTGTGAGTTTGAGTACGCTTTTACGCGCTTGTGCAAGCACGCATTGTCGATACTGTGTCCTTATCTCATTTAAAAATTCCGGGACGTGTACATACGTGTCTTAACGCGTTCTCAACTTGTCTGGACGTGTTCCACGCCTGTCCCGGCCATTTCTCAGGAAATCATCATGTTATAGAAAAAGTGGCTTTGAGAGCGCCTCGTTGTAAGCGACTTAGGGCTTAATAGTTTAGGTGGAAAATATAGCCTTCACTTCGTTGCAAATCCGGAGTAATTGAGGACGGAAGAGGCATGGTTTTAACATGAAAAGTGGAAGTAAAATGAAAATAGTAGTTTATGGAGGAGGAGGAGGAAGAAGAGGAAGAGAAGGAGAAAGAAGAGAAAGATTAAAAGGAGTAGGTACAGAAGAAGGGAGAGGAGAAGGACTGTGAGAAAAAAGAGGAAGCGAAGGATGGGTAAGAGGAGCAGGAAGAGAAGGAGATAGTGGAAGAGGGTGAAGCAAGCTAAAAGAGAAGAAAAGAAAAGAGAGAGAGAGAGAGATAGAGAACTAGATTCCCTCACGCCCCACTAACTCTCTCTCCCTCCCGACGACTGTATCACTGATACACTTAGCATAATATGCGTATTTGCGTGCAGTCTGCGTTAGACATGATGACTCCAGCGCCAACGTTCATGAGGTTCTGGGTTGCTTGCGTACTGTGAGTGTGTGCGCGAGAGATAGATATATAAATAGAGAGAGAGAGAGAGGGAGAGTGAGACCCTGTATTTACGTGCATTAAAGAGGAGTACAACAGACTATCAGACTCACGAGAGACAGAGGATAAAAACCTACCAGATTCTGAATATATATCTATAAACCCCAGTATATACACCTAGCATCGCCTGTATATATACACCTATCAAGCCTTGTACAACGAGTGTTA